TCTCAATACTCACCCGATGAAGACGAAGACTTCATCGACGAGGTGATGAGAAGATCGAGGAGAGCTGTCAGAGGAGGAAGAGCCATCGAAGACATGCCCTCTCCAGGCGAGGTAAGGGAAATCATCGAAGACTCAAGGTGAAGAAGGCACCGGGTGTAGACGATATTGGGAACAGAGTCCTGAAGAGACTCCGAGGAAAGCGATAATGGCAATTACCAACATCGTCAACGCCATACTGAGACACCGGTACTTTCCAGATCACTGGAAAGTAGCCGAGGTGATCAACATTCCTAAACCTGGGAAAGACCCAAGGTTCCCCCCAAAACTACAGACCCATAAGCCTGTTGACGGCACTGAGCAAGATTGCGGAAAGGGTAATCGAACGAAGATGAAGAACGAAACCGAAGAACTCCGAGTAGTTCCAGACGAACAGTTCGGATTCCGATGCGGGCATTCAGCAGAGCACCAGGTCCTAAGGCTGGTCGAGATGGCAACGAAATCGTTCCAGACTCGGCGGGCCGTGGGAGCTGTGTTCATGGATGCCGCAAAGGCGTTCGACACTGTTTGGCATGACGGACTGATCTACAAGATGGTAGACCACGGATACTCAAAGGGGATGATCCAACTGGTGAAGTCCTACTTGAAGCACCGAAATTTCCGAATTAGGATCGGTAAAACAACCTCGACGACGAGGACTGTGGAGGCAGAGTACCGCAGGGAGCGGTTCTACCACCCCTGCTGTATCCAATCTACAGCTCAGACATCCCGAAGACTCCTCAAACGCAACTGTATGTGTATGCGGACGATACAGCATATGCGGCAGAAAGTACGAGACCCCGCATGGTTACGGAATATCTGCAACGAGCGACCACCAACCTAGAGGAATGGTGCATCAAGTGGAAGATCCGCCTCAACCCCGAGAAGACCGAAGCGGTACTGTTCCGAAGAAATCGAAGATTACCTCAGACCAAAATAAAGATGACGACCACCAGAATGGAGAGAGGCTGGAGAAGAGATGAAGAGGTTGAGGTCGACTGGAAAGACTCCAGCACATACCTTGGAGTCAAGATGGACCAGAAACTCACTTGGAAGAACCATGTCGAAGACCGGGTGCAGAAAGTGAAGATGGCACGCTCCAAACTAAGACCCTTAACGGGCAGAAGAAGCAAAGTGTCACTAAAGAATAAGACCATCATGATTCAGATGGTGCTGCTACAAATCATGACTTACGCAGCAGTAGCTTGGGGCTACGTTTCCAAAACGATGAAGAAGAGGCTCCAAGCTCAACAAAACATGGCACTCCGTGAAGCGGTGGACGCACCGTGGTATGTACCTAACAGAGTGCTATATGACGAACTACGACAGGTACCGGTCGTAATCCAGATGAGAGAGAGGGCCAGAAAGTTCTTTGAAAAGAAATGTGCTGATTGAAGCCGCCTTGGATTACGACCCAAGAAAATAAGGCGTCATAAAAGACCGAAAAGCCAGCTGCAACAAGAAGATATTTGGCCCTAGCAGCTGATCAGGCCAAAGAAAAGGGGAGAAGACCGACAATAGTTGTACACCCAAGAGGGGAAAGAACAGCCCGTGTACAACGGGTGGACAAAAAGAAGCCTGTCGATTGAGGTGGCCAGAGTCAAGCACGGACTCGGGGCTAACCTCAGGAGACGAATGACTTACAAATATGACTGACTGACGACGACTGACTGACTCCAGTCGACGAGGAAAGAGCGAAGGCTCACCAACCTTTAGGAGGGGCTTAGGTCGAAAGCCCCCAGCGCAGGACCCCCAAGAAAAGAGGCCGGCCATAAAGTCGAGAACCGACAGTTGGAAGAAACGTCCACCACGCGCTTCCGCGACGCGTGCGCGATCGAGTCAAATTTCGGGAAAAAGGGGCAAAATTGGGGAAGGGGGGATAGCTCGTTCGGCAGCACACACTCGGGGAATGCGCAAGCGGCCTGAACCACGCAGCGCCACTCCAGGCCTTTGGGCGGGAGTGGGGGGAGGAGCTGATTGCTCTTCCCCCCACTCCTCAAGGGTTTGAGGTTGCCTGGAACAGGGGTGGTGGAGGGACCGCACAGGGTAGGAGGGTGTGTGTGTGTGTGTGAAGACCGTAGCAGAAGAAGAAGAAGAAGACGAAGACCGTTTTGTAAAATAACAAAATTAAGTAACACAATTTTTTTTATACATTTATAGCCCATAAGTAACAGCAGACCGAATATATTGCCAACGGAAAATCCTTTTTATTTTGGTATTCTGAGTTTAATTGATGTTAACTGCCCAAAATTGATTACTTATCGTTTATTCCTTTCCCCGCGGATCGGTGTATGGTAACTTGTTCTAACAGTTAATAGTATTAACGGAGTGTCATTGTTTTTATTGTTCAACAGCGAAATCAGTCAACATAAGGGTATCCACGATTTCCGAAGGTTAATACAGGGTGTCCGCAAAGTTGGGCTTTTCCTTTTCAGAAACAACTACCCTTGAAATAACAAAGGTAATGCGTAGTGAAACGAGGGCCGACCATGTAAAAAAATATATAAAGGAAAAAGTACTCACTCTCCAGTTGACCCCATTACGTGTGAACGTAGATTCGTCTGTCACCAATATGCACTTCAAAAAGTCCGGATTATTGTCATGTTGATGCAACAACCACTCACAAAACCGCACTCTTGCTGGAAAATCGTCAGGTTGGACGTTTGCCACACTCTAGTTTGTGATACTCGCACTTCTCTAGCCACGTCTCTAGTGCTTGTTGAGGGATTCTCGTCTACGCGATTCAGTAGTTCTTCCTCAACTAGCACCATTCGTGGTTGTCTAGACCTCCCACTGTGCCCACCTCGATATTCCTCCAAATGGCCCGTATCCCTGACTCTCTGGACCGGGTACACAAATCTGCGGGGCCTTGGATGATGTCGTCTAGGGAAAAGATCTGCATACACTCGCGACGATTCTGTATCATTTTGAAGACGTTCATTAATAAATTAACAACATATCAACGAGTTCATTATTGGTATATGAGTGTGCCATTATTATTATATTTATTATACCTCTA